ACCTGTACAAATTGATAAATAATAAAACATTAAACATAAGCATCCATAAAACAGGGAAACAAAAACAATCAGGGCTCAAATAAAATTTTAAATTCTAATTTTATGTTGTCGTTTGTAAAACAGTAAAACAGCCCAACAAACCATAATCAAAGAATCAGAGCTTCGAAAGTTTCATTATTAATATTAGGTTTGCCAAACAAACAAACTAAAGTTTCATACTTTCAATCTTTCATTATTAGGTTTCCCAATCAAACAACTTTAAAAATTTCAACAATAAAGTAAATAAATTAATAACCTAGGTTAAAACTTAAAAGACTTAATTGTTAAATCCCTAACCTCAAGTGACAAGTCAAGACCGGCGATGGGCGAGAGTCGAGAGAGCAGAGGCCTGCGATGGGCGATGCGCCGATGGCCAATGGGCTTGAATCTTGATCGACCGGCGAGGCGGCGACTGAGGCAGAGAGAGAGCGACAGAGCGTCGAGGTCGAGCGAGAGCGAGTCAGCGAGAGCGAGAGCGAGGGCGGGAGCGATTGAGGAATGAGTTATGAGATGAATCGTGAAATAATCGATGCTGGATATGGAGTATGGTCTTATGGACTGGACTAACGGTAATAAAATTTTTTTGCTGGATATGGAGTATGGACTGGACTAACGGTAATAAAAATTTTTGGCCCAAACTGAACCTAATACATATATTGGGCTTAAAAATAATTGATGCCCTCTTCATTTTGATGCCCTGGGCCGTCGCCCCTTTGGCCTAGGCCCAGGGCCGGCCCTGTCTTCACCTTATATGCACATTTAATCGTACGTATACGTATGGCAATATAGAGATAGGAGAGAGGGAACAATATATGATAATTATCTTAAATAAATAATCCAAAAAATGCATTAATATTTGTATAATAAATAATGATAATTATCTTTTTAATTATCTCATTAAATAATAGCATTAATTATCTTGAATTAATGACTTAGGATAATGTAATACCCTCAATTCTCCAAAAGAAATGTCACATCATCACCCATAGAATTTCCTTAAACACTCCAAATAATACAACTAATAATTAGAACCGTTCATACGAAGTCTTCAAAATACATAATCATGTAACTTAAGAGTTTACCCGTCCCATACCAGTTTAAGTTACAATTAATCCATACATAAAAGTCTAAGCAAAAGACTGAATTAAAAATGATAATAGACAAGTCTCTAAACGTGTCATTTGCTCTTATCCAACCTCGAACCACCTGATTATGAGATGCATGTTATGGTCTTAAATTTATAAAGCTTAATGAGTTCATAGTTTGCATGAGTAAAATCATATCTTCACATATACATCAGACATGCATAATTCATAATATAAATAAGAGCTTCCTAAGAACTTGTAAGATTGAAAAAAAAAAGAGATCTCATATATCGTCTGATTGAGTACGGGTCATTTAGTCATAGACACGCCCTGGGTGGAAATGCATGTCTTAATTAAATACTAAATTGTCAGAGTTGTGTCATACTGATCGTGACTTATGGTCAAATGCCCACCATTTAAAACTGATCATAAAAATGTAGTATGAATAGCATAGCATGCAGCTTGTCATAAATGTCATACATGTATTCGCAACATGTATGTAAACTGAAATATCATGCATACATGCACCTTATCAAACAATTCATATCATGCTAAAATAAATTTGTACGTAGATACGCATTCCATTGTAAGACTCATAAAGAAAGGAAGGTATTCAAGTGATCCTCGTGATCCTCCTGCAATCTAGATTCCGATTGAACCAAGTGATGAGGAAATGATCTATTACAAAAGAAAGAATGATAAATTCAAACTAACTAAAATCCCTCACCAAGATATCAAGTTTAAGATACCTTCCAAACATGACACTTGTCAAGACTTTAATCATCGAGGGTAGCTCATGCTAAAGTTGGGCACTCTCTTTAATCTTACTAAGATAAGGTAAACATAGGATTTCTACAAACCATTTTGTGTCATACTTAACCAAACTAAGCCTAATAGAAATAGGGATTTAGAGGCATGGGTTAGGAATATTGACATGATGAATTTAAATATAAGTTATTCACCTAAGTATCCAAGGGTTACATAGAGATGTAATTATCATTGTTGTTGCTTACCTAAAAACATTATTGGTTGATCCGTTAGCTAAAGTTAAATTGGTCGATAGTGAGAATATGGATCTTGGCCCACTAGAAAACTCATGACGTTCTTTGGAACAATAAAAGAGGCTAGTTGTTTTGATTAAAATAGTGGGAGCTTGTTTGATGAAAGTCTTTATAAAACAATAATAATTCATGACACTAAGAACTCTGCAATTTTATGGTAGATTACAGATGGCACAAACCAACAATGGAAACAAAAACACTTTATGATCGATCCTTGAATAAGAAAAACTAAATGGAACAAATTTCATCATTTGGTATCGTAATTTGAGAAGTGACCTTAAAGCTGAAAAGAAATTGTATGTCTTGGAGCAACAAATCCTTGAAGAGCTGAATTCCAGTGCTTCTAGAACTGAAAGGGACATTTAAAAAAAACATGACGAGGATGCTTTGGACGTCTCATGTCTAATGCTAATAACCATGGAACCTGAGCTTCAGAAGCAACATGAAAACACGGGGGGCGTTCGATATGATCGAACACCTAAAATTGCTATTCCAAGAGCAAGTTAGACATGAGAGGTACGAAACATCCAAGGAACTGTTTTGTTGTAGGATAGCCGAAGGTAGTCCCGTTGGAACTCATATGCTTAAAATGATTGTGCATATTGAGCACCTTGAAGGACTATGTTCTCCTTTACGAAAGGAGTTATCCATTGATGTGGTCTTGCAATTGTTGCCAAATAGCTACAATCAATTTGTGATGAACTACAACATGCATGACTTTGACAAAGACCTTCCAAAATTGCTCAAAATGTTAGGAACAGTCGAGCAAGAGCTTGCAAAGAAGAAGTCCATCATTTTGATGGTTCATAAAGACAATAAGGGGAAAGGAAAATGAAAGTCCATTGCCTTACCCACTTCGAAATCTTTGAAGCCAAAAAGAGGCATTGTGAAGAAACCCAAGGTAACTGTACGTAAGGAGGTTGTTGCTTTCATTGCAACAAACCTAGGCATTGGAGGAGGAACTGTCTTCTCTACTTTCAGGAAAAGAAGAAATGAAATGTACTTCCACTGCAAGTATCTATGTGATAGAAGTTAATCTTTCTACTTCATATACATCATGGGCATTAGATACTGGATGTGGTTTTTCATATTTGTAAAAAATACATGAGCTAAAAATGACTAGAAGGTTGAACAAAGGTGAAGTTGTATGCGTCGAAAATGGGGCAAAAGTTGCTGCTATAGGCTATAGCCGTATGATCTGTTTTGTTAACTTTACCGACTAAATTAATATTAAAACTTGATAACCGTTATTGTGTACCATCTATTTGTAGAATTTTGATTTTTGTATCTTGTTTGGACAAGAAAGGTTTTACCTTTAATATTGGGAACAAATGTTGTTCATTTTCTCTTGGTAATATATATTATGATGATGCAAGTTTGATTAATGGTCTTTATGTTCTTAATATGAATAATCCGATTTATAACATAGATAAAAGGGAGGTCAAACCGAATAGTTCGAATTTAGCCCATCTCTGGCGTTGTCATCTCGGCGCGTTGTCATCTCGACCATAAAACGAAACTCACATTTCCAAGCTCCATAGGTAAAAATTCAATAGGAAACTTTTATTTATTGGATATATATATGTACCAAAAAAAGAAGATAGTGATAGACTATTTATAAATAACCAATTATAAGTGATTTTGTAACGACAAAATACCGATATCATAGTCCCTATATATAGTCAACATCGTAGTCCCAAACACATAATTGGTTGTATTTTTGCTACATAAAGTTTCAAATATACAACGTATTGTTTTAAAGAAAAACCAAACGTTGGTCTTGTTGGGTATTAGTATCTTATTTTTTCGAGGTATATTTATCCAAATTCATATCGAGTAATCTAATTGTGGGTAATTTACTAAGACACAGTTGAATGTCGTTTTGATTTTTATATACCCTTTTATAAATTATTCTTTTTGGTGTTTGTCTTTTTATAAATTAGTAAATCAACATATAACCTTATACAATCGATAATAATTGGTAACAAGTTTGTTATTTGCATCCAATACACAAACCAAACACTGCTTTTCGACCCTTAATTCTTTCCTAATATTAGGCAAAGGTTTATCAGTTTGACGGGTTATATGGTGGCGATGATAGGTGCCGCAAGGAGACAGCGATACATAGATTACGATCAACACCCTCAGCCAAACGCTATCCTCTTACTTGGTTTTTGTTGATTGTTGATTTTATTCTCGACCGTCAAACTTGATATCTCGATCTTCCTAATTTTAGGCAAGGAAATGTAGATATCATTGTTAAAAGGTAAGCATAAAGACGGTGTTTCAAAAGATAAGCATCAATCATGATAGATAGAATCGTCGTAGTGATTGAATTATTAGCCATTCTGCTAGGGTTTTTATCTATTATAATCTAAAAATGATTTCATAAGTTTTTCGAATTAAAATTATTTTTGTCAATAAACTTTATTTCCAATCGTGTTTCGGACGAGGATCAATGAAATGTCCGTCAGTAAAAATAGATGTGTGGCCCGCATCACCATGTCCTAGACACAAATAACGTTGTCATTATCATATTATTTTTGTATAAATTGAATCATTGTATTATATAATATATAGGAATTAAATACATACACGATTGCTTCAATATTAATAATCCATTTTATGCGGATTGAAAGAAGGCCCACATCACCTGTGAGTCTGCATTCTTATCTTGTTCTCACATAAAAATTTAAGGAACGCATTTGGAATAGCAACAACCTCTATCTACATCAAATCTATATAACCTATCCAAATTGCATTAAAAATCCATCAACAGAATTCAGGTTCTTCCCGTCTCTATTCTTTGCTAATATTGATTTCTTTCATACTCCATCTGATTCAATTGGGCAAAATCTTTCACAGTTATCTCTAATCTGTTATCTGTACGTCGGTTATGTTTCATTGGTACTTTGAATTTCAGTCAATTTTTGGGTTTTCAAGATCATGGCATTTAAATGTAAAGTTGCTGTTCAGTTTAATTTGAACTTTGGGTTTGAGATTTTTTAGCCGATGATCGTTCTTCAGTTGGGTTTAAGCCGAATTGCTGCGTTCGTCATCTATTGATTTTTATTTTTTTTATTATTAAGGTTTGAATGAGATGATAAATATGAAAGCTGGGAAGTTCTTGCTGTTTTTATTATGCGTCATTGCGATTTCTAATACAGTGGTAAAGTCTTTGAAGATCGTATCTCCTCGTTTCATTCATTTGTTTATTTACCCTTTAGGGTTTATAATATATATATATATATATATATATATATTGTATTTTAGATTTGTTGATTTTTTTGTTTATAGATTTGTGAAGCGCCACCTACTTGTCCGGCTGATCTTGATGGTGGTTGTGGTTCTGATGACTCTGGTGAATGGGAAGGGGAATTTTTCACTGGCATTCCCAAAATTGTATATGAGGTAAGAAAACTAATCATCATCACCATCTTCTGAATTGTGAAGTTTGGAAATTGAGATAAATTATACATGATTAATATGTTAATGTTTTGGTGTAGGGGCCGAAAAGCAAGAACCCACTTGCATATAAATGGTACAATGCTAATGAGGAGATTCTTGGGAAGAGTATGAAGGTTCTTTCTTGAAAAATTGTACCTTTTAGTTTTGTGATATTTGGTGTGGCCATAAGATGGTTATACGTTGGTGGTCATGGGCTGAAATCCCCCTTTACTATCGATTCTCTATGAATTGGTAAAGTCTTGAACCAATTTGTAAGGCAGCTTCATCGTGACTTGAAGGTCTTGGGTTCGGACAAATGCAAAAGATTTCTCTGATCAACCTTTGAAAAGCCAATAACCTGTGATGGTTGCACATTATTTTTTTTTTGTAGATATAACTATTATATAAATGGTTTATGAGATGGGTTATTGTTTGTTCAACTTAGGACTGGATGAGGTTTAGTGTTGCTTTTTGGCACACTTTCCGTGGGACAGGAGGTGACCCTTTTGGTGCAGCTACTAAGATGTGGCCGTGGGAAGATGGTACTAATTCTTTAGCCATGGCAAAGCGAAGAAGTAAGATAAATTGTTTTTAGACCGCTTAGCAGTATTTTATTTGGTTAGTTGTCTATCTGGATTGTACTTATTGCTTTTTTGTTGTTGCAGTGAGGGCGAACTTTGAGTTCCTAGAAAAGCTTGGTGTTGATAGGTGGTGTTTTCATGATAGGGACATTGCTCCAGATGGTAAAACATTGGAGGTAACTGGACCTAATTATTATCTTTATTATGTAATGCCATCAAAGTTTTAAATAATATATGTATTCGTATGACCTCTTTATTATCTTTGTAGGAATCTAATGCAAATCTGGATGAAATCGTAGCTCTTGCGAAAGAACTTCAGGTAAGGTTTCATGGTTAAATGAAACAAAATTATGGCCCATATATTTTTCATTATTCATCCACTCGCTCTAAATCGAGCACTTACTTTTTTTTATATATAAAAAAATTTATCCATAAAAAAGGTGCTTCTTATGACCAATTAGTTGTGAGTTTCTTCTCTCATGAATTAACTTATTCTTGCAGGGAACCAAGATTCGTCCTTTATGGGGTACGGCCCAGTTGTTCCTGCATCCGCGCTACATGCATGGGGGTGCCACCAGGTATGTTATGCTGTTTTCAAGGGTCAATGTTTCAATATATCTATCTAATTAATCATAGCTACACATGAATTTACCTTCACTTGTTATATTGTCACAGCCCAGAAATAGGAGTCTATGCATATGCAGCAGCTCAAGTTAAGAAAGCAATAGAGGTTGGTACTTAGTTCATTGAACAAAATGGACAGTTTCTTACGTTGATATGAGCTTTACCGTGCGAAGCGTTACGTGAACACAGGTTACACACTATCTCGGAGGTGAAAATTATGTCTTTTGGGGCGGTCGTGAGGGTTATCAGACTCTTCTGAACACTGATATGGAGAGAGAGCTTGACCATATGGTATGATTGTGGGAAATTTTTTTTTTCTTTTTGTAATGCCCACGAAGAACTTGGATATAACAATATACATGTAATGCAAATGCAATGAGATAAATAACCCACGTAGAATTGTTTTCAAAGATGTAGAAGAGTTGATCTTGTATATTTGTCTTATCTGAAGTATCCTGTAATGCTGCTTCCTTACAGGCACGATTTTTTGAAGCTGCTGTAGCTTACAAAAAGAAGATTGGATTCAAGGGTAATAATTTTTGTTTTCATTTTTAGATATTATATTTGCATTATTTCATGGGTTCGAAGCTCTCAAAATAGCTAATAAGCGACTGGCATGACATGCTATTTATCAAACTATGCTGGAAATATGTCATTTTCAGAGTTATAACATTATACTCTTAGCTCTCTATTTGTTTTCCGATTTTGACTTTGAATGTCAAACAATACAACAGAATTGGTGTCTAGACTATAAAAACATTAGATCTATAATAATTTTGTATGTTTAAAAAAGAACATAGGATGATTGATTATATGTATGCTAACTTTTCTTTCTCTTTCACTCCAGGAACACTTCTTATTGAGCCTAAGCCTCAAGAACCCACAAAGCACCAGTATGATACTATCTATTTTGTTAGCCCATTGACTGGTCCATTATTTTTTAAATGCTCTTACGAGTTCACGTACTAATGTTGCCAGGTATGATTGGGATGCTGCCACAGCAGCGAATTTCTTACGGAAGTATGGACTTATAGGTAATCTACCACCCCTTTGAATTGATTCGTTCGGAAGTCTGTGTTGGGATATCTTCACCTGAGTTTCGATTAAGTTGTGAAAATTGTTTATTATGAGTCGGTTGGATTTTAAGCTAAAGAGGTCAACTATGAAAGATATCCTCTTGTTGATGTCTTGATGTAGTTTTCAAGTATGCATCTTTATGTTAACATGTAAAACACTTGACTTCTTTTCAAACTATATAAAGAAATGTTAAAATGATCTGAACAACTTGCAAGAGATTTTAAAGATTGCAACTAGAATATTGTGTTGTGAGAGGAAATCTGCATAGCAACTTTACAGTGAATAAAATCAATTGCAATGTTCTAACCTTTTCTGGCATGTATATGTCCCTGCAGGAGAATTCAAATTGAATATCGAATGCAACCACGCTACTCTATCTGGTCACAGGTGTGTGACATGTTGACTTTAGTTTTGACTTTTTATGAAAATAGTTTTGTTGATGATGACATGAGACGGGAGTAGCCAAGGAATTTTTTAGTTTTTGGCTTTTTTTACCTTTTTAAATGAAGTGTGAACAAGATTATAAAGATACAATCTTTGGCAACCTTTTACATATAAAGATATTTTCATGGTTTACAAAGGAATTACAAGTTGACTGCTTGGCTTTTGACAAGGCCGTATAAGCTATAGTTCCTCTCTTAATTGTCGTATTTTATTTCTTTCGAAAATGAAATAGTCTTTTCAAACTCTTTTGGATTTTTTATCAAACAGAAACCACTACACTATTTATATTGCAAAAAGAAAAGTAAACATAAAACAAATGACGTTGGTGTTACTAAATGAGGCCTAAGGAGTTTGTTTTTGACCTCCAATTTCTTTTTTCAGCGCCTATGTGTCATGTTAGAATCACATAAATCAAGTTAAGCTTTGAACGTTTTTGTTTTGCAGTTGTCACCATGAGCTTGAAACTGCGCGGATTAATGGTTTACTAGGAAATGTTGATGCAAACACTGGCGACCCTCAAATAGGTAGAATGTTGATATGGAGCTACTTTGCTTTGATTATCAATATGTTCCCTTGGTTGTTCAAATTTTGATGATTCGTTTGTGAGTTATAATAGGTTGGGATACGGATCAGTTTTTGATGGATATCAACGAAGCCACATTGGTTATGCTCAGTGTCATCAGAAACGTAAGTAAACTTGCATCTACAGAATGTATGATGATGTATTACTCCCTTCTTTCCATGAAATTTCAATATTTGACTTGCAAATAGTTGACGTTGAAGGGGACTGTTTAGATGTTCGTGAAATATAAGAATACCCGTCAACAGATACAAATTAGGATAATCTTTTAGACCCTTTATCAATACTACCAATTTAGTTGTAATGATAGAAACGGGGCAAATAGGTAATGTTAACATGAAAACTTTACAATAAAATAAATTCCAACATTTCATGGGACTTTTCAAGAAGGAAAGTGTTTTGATTTTAATGGCACACGGATATTATTATCATTATTTCATGACTCGCTAATGATTTATTTTCTGCTGGTGATTGCTGACTTCTCTTTTCGATTACAGGGTGGACTTGCACCTGGGGGCTTCAATTTTGATGCCAAATTGTGAGTTCCGTTCTAATATAGTTTGTTTCTCCCCCTCTTACTGTGCAAATATCAAGTCAATTTTCTTACTTAAGTTAAACTTGTAATCAAAATAGCAACGGTTAAGTAATGTAGTAATTAAGGATGGAATTTTCAAAAGCATTGATGTTATGACGTGATATACAGACGAAGGGAGAGTACAGACGTTGAAGACTTGTTTATTGCTCATATTGCTGGTATGGATACCCTTGCACGTGGTCTTCGTAATGCTGCAAAGCTGATCGAGGTATCTTTTCTACTCTGTTGCCTTTTCGTGTTTTCTTTTGTAAATCATATTCTTGTTAGCTGAGGGAATATTATGGTTTCATTGAAGGATGGTTCTTTGGAGAAGCTTGTTCGTAAGAGGTATCAGAGCTTTGATTCAGAATTAGGTGCCGAAATTGAGGTAATTACCGCAATTCTAGTTTTATGAGCCATAATATGTACTTGGGTGACATTGTTGAGTATGTTTGGTGTTGGTGTTGGTGTTGTAGGCTGGAAAAGCTGATTTTGATATGCTTGAAAAGAAGGCTATGGAATGGGGAGAACCTAAAGTTCCTTCTGGCAAACAGGTAAATAAAAAATGTGAAGATGGTTTCATTTAAATTTAAGAATTAAATAAAACTTATAAGTTTTTCAAGATTTTTGAGCATTACTCCCTCTGTCACAAAATACTTCTCTATTTTAGTCTGTGTAATTCATACGCTCATGAGTACTGTTGTTATTTAATTAATTAAAAAGTGTAATAGTTGTAAATTTATAAAACTGTGTACCTTTTTCATGATGGGGATGGTGGGATTATTACTGATTGCGTTCCACGTGTGCAGGAACTTGCGGAGATGCTTTTCCAGTCTGCAATGTGATAAAAAGTTTTCTAGTACAAGTTTATAGTTTCGGTTAGCTTAGAAGTATTAAACAATAAAGGTAACAGAAGTCATGGCTTAATATGCAATGTGGCTGGCTGTAATTAGCATTTTAAAGACTCTTAGCTTAAGTTAAACTGGTTTAGCCTTATTTATCATTTAAATGGCAATCTTATGTGAACAATCAGCCATGGCTTGATTAGGTGGCTGGCTGGCTGGCTGGCTGGCTTATTATAAGCAAGAAATCAGATTTGTTCCTTGTTCCATTTTCGTCGACAATTGAAAACCATAATGCTGATGGGATCAATTACGCATTTGATCCCTGTGTTTTATAACAAATTATGAATTTGGTCCTTAAAATTGAAGTAATTATCGTGTGGTAGCTGAAAATCTGAACCCAAGTCCCTCAACAGAAGATCCCTTTTCCATTACCTCAATTGAACTTGATTTCTTTGTGTTATAGTGATTATCGATCCAAGGAATTGTTTTGAATACGAATTTTAGGGGTTTTGTTTGTTTGATTTCGATTTAGGGTTTTTGTTGTTGTTTCATCATAAGTTTTGTACAATAATTTTCATAATGAATTCAATTTGTGTTCTTAATAAGTAAATCAATTTTTTGTTTTGATTAATCTGGATATCTAACCTGCTATACGAGCCGACTAATTTCAGGGTGACCATTCACGGAGTCACCGTATTTGAACCTCCGTGGTCATAAGGGGATTTTTATTCCTTCTTGGATTCGAACCTGAGACCTCCAGACGCTTTTAACTTTTGAAGGCGAAATTCAAACCAATTGGGCAGCATCCTTGTGGTTGTAAATCAAATTTTACGAATGTATTCCCAAAATGAATAAAAAATAATAACTATATATTAGATTTCATAAGTTTTGTGAAATAATTAATAAAAATAGATTAAGAATAGGATTGTAGGACCAACCAGTTTTTACAAAATTCATGTTTAGACTGTAATATTTAAAATTTAAGCATCCTAATTCAAGTTATATGATTTATTATGTGAAAAACATGATTTATATTTATACAAGCAAACATTTTTATTATAATGTATGTGGTAAATACTGTAAAAACAATCGTATCAAATAATTATACATATAATTATATATATATATATATATATTCTTTTACGCAACAAACTATACTTTACGTCGACTTGAAATATAATGAAATCAAGAAATTCGGCCGATCCATACACATAGGCACCCATAGAGAGTTAGAGAAAACCTAACAACTGATTCTCTACTTCTATTTTCTTTTGTCTTTCCTTTTTGTGTCGACTTGAGTTGGTATTATCTTCTCGTCAAACGTTTTTCCATCCCGACATTACATTTACTAAAGTAAGTTATGATAAAAACGTCTAAATCCGAGTGGCACATGCCATCTTTTCATGTTTTACATTCTATTATTGTTATGTTTTCGACACAAGATCATCAAAAGTACAAAAAAGAGCATGTGAAAAAGTTCTTTGTTTTCAAAGCGAGGGTTCTTTTGTGGTTCGATCATCCACAAGAGTTGTAACGCACACGAACAAAGTTGCAACACTCGTATAGAGTTATGGTAGCAAAGTTGTCTTCACAAAAGAGCTATGTAACACCATATAATTAATAGATGTCGACTATGTGATGATAAAATCATAAGCACGTTTCATAAATTTATGTGTTTTAACAGATTTACACGTCACTATTGTCTCATTTGTAAACGAATGTCATGGTCTCTCTAAGACCTGAACACCAATATGACACTATTCGTAGGGTCGGGAGGTTGGATTTTTGATGAGATGTCATCAATCAGCGAAGCCAAGTTCGTTGGTTCATAATTGATGACGATTATTATAAATCTAAGAGGGTGTTTATAATTCCTTTTGAACCCTACGACGTAACCAATATTCTCAATTTTAATTGTTCGTTATCCATTATTTTATAATGATTTATTCCATTATACATTTATACGTACTTAATCAACGGTTTTTGATCATTATCATTTATATTATTACCGTCTAAAATGAATGGACGTTACGAGATGGACCAAAAGGGGGTAACCGATCTTTCTGGACTAAAAGTGTAAAAAATGAAAATCTAGATGACCTTAAATGGAAATGATGAGATAGTTCAGGGTGAGTTTTTGTAAATTACTCCGTGTTCATCACTCCATATCTCCCGATTACAGATCCTGAAGAATCAAAATAGGAAACTCGGAGGATTGTCGTCCGAGGAGATCGAGACGAAGACCTCATATCCTTCCATCTTCAAATCTTGCTCCCAAAATCTCACCTTTTTCGCCATCACTACATATTTGAATTTTCTCTTGAGCAGATTCTCCGCTTCAGAGGTACGCTTTTCCATTTCTAAATTCCCAAGATCTTTCGTATAGACATGCTTTTGTTTTGTGCAAATATGTATTACTCACGTGCGCTGGAACTAATTGTGTGCATCATATGTGAATTCATATCATTTTGGTTTTTTTTCGGTCGGATTCTGTCACGCAGAGGATTTGGGATTCTGCTTTTGAAGGTGAAACGATCTGATCTGGATTTTTGATTTGGGGAATACTCGTACATGGTGTAATAGATGGGGTTAGTGTTTACACGATTGTTCTCATCGCTTTTCGGAAACAAAGAAGCTCGGATCCTCGTTCTCGGTCTTGACAATGCTGGCAAAACCACTATTCTTTGTATGATCCCATCTCTTTCATTGTCTCTAATCTTTTCTACGGATTATCTGTTTTCATGTTTGTTAATTGGTGATTTGGTGTTTAGATCGGCTTCAGATGGGTGAAGTTGTCTCCACTATTCCAAGTTGGTTCTCTTTCTTCGTCTCAGTTTTCTTAATTTACATTTGATATCCCTAACAGCTTAAATGCTTAGTTTCATAATAGGTTAACTTATGGGATTATTGAAGTTACATTAACGAATTTTGGGCGGCAAGTCTAGTTTTGGGGCATTGTCTTGATAGGTGTGCGTACTGATGTAGAATTTCTGTGCAGCCATCGGATTCAATGTAGAGACGGTGCAATATAACAATATAAAGTTTCAAGTCTGGGATCTGGGTATGTTTGCTAATTGTCCTTGATTTGCCTATCTAACTATCTTTTTTCTGTCCATAAGTGTTGAATTGAGCATTTCATTTGATGAAGTCAGATATGTGCTGACACCAATTGACGATTTTCTGTTAGCAATTGGATTTAACCATGCTTGCTGAAGGATGACAGTTCTGTAACAGTGTAACTGGCTGGGTGGAATACCCGACTCATCGGAACCTATTTAGCTGGATATGGAATATCCATATCCATCCCGAAACTATAAACCTCATGCTACTAGTTCATGGTGCAAGTGTCATAATGTGTAACAACTCCATAAAATGAGAGCCAAGCATTATATTCTTGTCATTTGATCCTAGAATCATTAAATAACTCTTAAGTTAGACCACTTAGCCCTATTTTTATGCACGCACCATCTGGATATTCGTGAATTTGGTTGGAAGTTATACGACTAAAAACAACAAGATGTTGGAAGATAAATACTTATCTTTAAGAAAGCACTGAGGTCCCCAATCAAACTAATGCATAAATCCAACAATAATGCAGAAACAAATAGATCTCAAACTTGTGTCTAACAAAATACGGTTAATGAGACAATGACAACCCACAACAACGATGTAATAACGATCTAGGAGCGATAAATGTAGGACACAAAGATTTAACGTGATTCCACTATCATGAGATAGTGTACATCCATAGGGGGGAGATGGTGGTTCATATATTCAATTCCAAAAGGAGAATACAAGGAGTTCCCACTGATTACAAGCTTCAAATCATAGCACTTGACAAAATGTAATTCTAGAACTCCCTCTCAAGTTCTCTCTCGTATTTTCTGATGAGGAGTAAGAAGCACACAAAAGTCTACACTTTAGAAAAGACCAAAAAATAGGTTTTAACGTTGGGGCTCAGCTGGCCATAGTTGTTAAAAGCGTGCCTAGGCTCTGAGGCTCATAAGGCTCAAGGTTGTGGGCTTTTTTTAAGTCGAGGCTTAGAGTATTCATGAGGCTCACTAAGGCATTGCTCCTTGGCTGAGGCACCTTGTGGGCCTAGGCTCGCCTCATGAAGAGTTACTAAATACCTAGTTAAATCCTAAGATTAAATAAGTTTTCTCATGTTCTCACTCCTATACTTTTTAAAAAAGAGTTATCAAATAGATGAAATAAGTCAAATCCTAATATCAAATAGAACTTCAAGCCTCCTTCTCTATAAATACTCAAACTTTAAAATTTCTCCTTCATGGCTCACGCTTTAAACCCCTCTGCCTGTATCGAAGTTCTCTTGGTTGCTGCATTGGAGGCTTGTACTTGTTGAATATTTAAGTTGTGTGTAACTGTGCGTGTGTGTGTGTATATATATATATATATTGATAAGATGCGCCTCGCATTTCTGAGACCCACGCCTCACATCTGCGCCTCGCATTCCTGAGGCCCACGCCTCACATCTGTGCCTCGCGCCTAGGCCCCAAGACCCCTTTATGCCTAAGTGTGCCTTAAGCCTTTAACAACTTTGCCGCTGGCTATCCTGCCCACGAATGTGCCACTGTCCCTATAGCATGGCACCATCGCATCAAGTGTAGCGATAACAAGTCTTCCCGCGCTATCCTGCACACTATCCTGTCATCTGTCACGATAGAACCCAGTTTCAACATCAAAAAGACCTTGCTGAGCCAAACTTTGATTTGGTATTGGTGTCACACATTAAAATATGACACTAGAATCGAAGTCTAACTAAAGTAGGATCAACTTTATCAATGCATATGGTGCTTTCCCAACAAGTTCTCAAGCAATGTAAGAACTATAGTGATGAAGACTACATAATAAACTTAAAATGTAGGATTTACTTGAAGCCATTTAATGCCCTGATGATTCTTTGATATCTCGGTCTTGAAAAGACTCAAAAAACAGAAGCACCATAATAGAGCTTCGCACGCACAAGACACATGTATTTTTACATACATTGATGATTACTACTTATACTAAGTCTGAAGTACAATTAGCTTGCATTATATTGTGCCAAGACAATAAGCGAACTATTGTGTTCTTAAGACAGGTTGTTTCACCAATAACATTTCTTTAATGATATAAGGATCATTTTTGTTAGAGGTCTAGAGGACCATGATGATCGTGGAAATATAATCCTAAAGTTTTGTAAAGCGTCGAAAACATGATTTTAGAGACTGAAGTAGTTGCAACATCAACTTATTACTCCTGGGATCAAATTTTCGTCATTACCATATCACATTCTAGTGTCATATTATTTAGCATAAAAAGGCTGAGGCTCGTTGTTGCTAAATCATGGTCAAAAGAAGAGTCAAATTTGATCTTTAAATTAGAGTTTTCTTGAGATGGAGGGTTCTGGTTGTATCAAGTAAATGCAGCAATATAGACTTTGGTTACATATTGTAAGTGAAAAGATGGCTCAAAAGCTCCAGGGTGAGACGGAATGATAGTTTTTTATGCTCTATTTCAGAAGGATGAACACCAGGATTGGAATTCATGTAGGTTTGGTAGGTGTAATTTTTAACGGTAATTCATACTTTCAAGTTTACGTCAGAACTTTACTGATGACTTATACACCTATGGATTCCATCCTAAGTGGTGATGGTTTTCTAAATAATAATCCATTACACCAGACTCTTTGAATGCAAGGCCCATTTTTAAAACAAGAAAATAAAAATAAAGGATGAGAAAGTACATACATTGGTGTTATTTGATTCTCATATATTAGTTTGATTCCATTAGAGCCAAGCTTGACAGTACCGGTCATAATGTTTGTAGTTCCTATAATTTGAATAAGTAGTGCACGATATTATAATATAAAATGATTGGTGTCACATTTCAGGGATTAAATTAGAATGGGTTTTGGTATTAGCAATTGGATTATCTTAGTATATGCTATAATTTATTAAAGAAAATTATAATTGTAAATATGAGGAATAAGAAGGGCAGTAAAAGACAGGGATCTAATAATCACGGAACAAGACATCTCGTTGCATTTAGAATAAAAGATAAGGTGCTGGAAGTCTGTGGACTATGTAGTGCAAATGGACTCCCTGTTATACACACTTGTACATAAATACTTGCTGGTGGTATGTGAAGGTTATACACTTATAGGTAGCGTTTGGTACGCAGACATAATTGGACTGGACTGAACAGGACAGGACAAGATATGACTGGACAAGAGGGTAGGACTGGATAGGACTGGACGAGACAGGACTGGACATAACAGGAGTATGTCTGGTGTTTGGTACGACTAGGATTGGACGGGTGAGAACTAGACAAGCTATCCCCAAAAGTTATTTGATGATTTTAAATATTATATAATAGTTATAATTAACACAAATAAAGTAAATAATTAAATAATTTAATTTATAAATATTTGTACATAATTTTCATATTTGTATCAAATTTGAATGAAAAATTTGATATAATTGATGGTAGTAGTGGTGTTGGTGGAGGTGGTTTTGGTTATGGTGGAGGTGGTGGTGGTCGACGGTAGTAGTGGCAACGGGCAGTGTCGGTGGCCAACAGTGGTTATGGAGGTAGAGGCAGTGGTGGTGGTGATAGTTGACAATGGTGGAGGAGGTAGTTGTGGTTGATGTAGTGAAGATAGTGGTGGTGGTGGTTATGGTGGAGGTGAGGTGGCAATGAATGGTAGTGGCCGATGGTGGTCATGGAGGTCGTGGAGGAGGTTGTTGCAGTAGAGGAGGAGTTGTAGGTGGCGAACGTCGTTAGTGGTGGTGGCAATGGACGGTGGTGGTCGGTGGTCGACTATGGTAGAGGTGGCAATGGACTTGGTGGACGGTGGTTATGGAGGCGGTGGAGGATGTTGTTGTAGGGGAAGAAGAGGTGGAGGACTGGAGGTGGAGGTGGAGGTGGCCACCGGTAGTGGTGGCGGCGGCCGAAACTAGCGGTGATGACCATTAAAACAAATATTATATTAAGGTTATATATCAAACTAGGGTAGATTAGTAATATTTTAGTTTCTGTCACATTCTTGTCCCATAAAAAACCTCTTTTGTCCCATGCTGTCCCACCTTGTCCTAGTTCTTGTCCCTGTTCCATGTCGCGCCAAACGTGGGACAGTGAGTTCTTGTTCTGTCCCATGCTACGCCAAACATGGGACAGTGAGTTTTGTCCCATCCTGTCCCGTCCCGTCCCATGTACCAAACGTAGCCAATATAGGCCAAGTTGTTTTAATAATCCTTTGATAAGGTCAATTGAAGTTCTTTCTTATGGTTCAGATTTACAGATAGATTAAGCTGTGGTGAATATGAGAATGCGAGTGATATGAGATATAGAAAAGGGAAAAATAATATCTTCAGCAAGGTTTGTTTTGAGATCAATAGAAGGTTAAATTTATACCGTAGTTAGATACAAGTCATTACCATTTTGGTAAGCATAGGAAGAAAGAGGTTGACTTCTTTGATGTGAAGCATTGTGAAGAAACATGTATACTTGCTTGTAGAATTATAATGTGAGTATAATGCTGTATGTTTAGAACACCAGATAGACAAATGAATTTCATTGGTCTTCGTAGAAACAGTTATGGTTGTTGAACTTGTTGGTCCGTTGGGATCTTTTTGGTCATCGAACATTCTTTTTCACTTTTCAATATTTCCTCTTATATTGTTTTCCTTGAATAATATGTATTTCATCATTATGTTAATATTTCTTGCTGATGCTAGTGTTTTTTTAATACAGGTGGGCAGACCAGCATCAGGTAGCCTTTGATTGATCTTCTCACCTCACTTCCCTCATGGCTAATACTACAAAAAGTAGATTGCAGCCAATCGTATATATTTTTGACATTGCTGAGTTATCTTAATTTTCTCTTCGATCAATACACTAGCCTGTTTCCCAACAGACCCACATATTCATCTTAACACGCTATGCTGTTAATTGCGGCGCTATTGCGCTGCAATAGCGGATTGCGGAGTAAGGTAAAATTGTGGTGAAATTTGCGTTTCCGATATTAGCGGCGCAATTGACCAATATTTAAGGTGAAATTGCAGATTGATATTCTGACATTTTAGCTTGGGCCTCTTTAGAACTATGTTGACTCGGATGCTGAACCTATTGCTTGTAATTAGCTCGTTTATGAACACTTTTCCTTTTTTGTTTTGTGAAACTTGTTTAAGTTGACGTTTTGATGCTGAAACTATATTCTTAATTAATGCATATATATGTTTATGTATGCATACATATATATTATCTATATGTGTGTATATATATATAATTCTATGAAATATTATATGAACCGCTGTTTTTGGACCACTATACCACTGCTATAACTGCTATTTCAAATTTCGGTTCTGACCGCAATTTTGTATTTTCACCTCTATAACAGCATAGTTAACACGTACTGAATTAGTTTGTGTTTGCACTCTTCATGCTGGCTTAAATTCATTATGGGATTAATTCCGCATCCCCACTTTTGGCATGCATGAAAAGTCATGATAGTTGAAACCATGCTCACTGCATATCTGGGTGGTATCTGCTGCTAATATTCCACTTTGGGTTGGTCTTGAGATGTGGCATACCACGGGTTATATTTTTACTTTTGGTGTACTAACGGTTGCGATGGACAGTAAAAAGCATTTGGTTGTGTGGTTTCTAGAAAAAAGACAAAAAAAAATCATGCTTTAAAAGATAAAAGCCAGAGCCTTGACAAAACCTGTATATGGATCCAAAATATACATGCAGACTAATGTGTTGTTTCATAAACCTAATAGTATCCTCCACTTGTTACATTTCTTTCAAATTTGCCTTTTCAAATTAGTTGAACAGGTAACTTTGTAAAATAACATATAAGGATGACCAACCGTTGTGTATGATTGCTGAATTTGTTTGATGGTCTCCTCAAGGACCTCAACTCATTCAGTTGAACTCCTTGATGTTCAGTAAAAGTTATTTTCGAAACCTTGTTGCTAGAAATGATGGTAATATAAAATACAGTTTGGGATTTATGCACATTGCAATCGAAGTTGGTGGGTTTTGTGCAGCACATAGACCAACTTTCTTTTCTGCCCTTGATTTCATGGTTGAAATGAGGATTGATGATTATAAAATCATCATATATCTTCTCAGTTTGAAATTTACATTGTACATTGAGTTGCAAAATAGGAAATGGTACAACTCCTGTAATGCTGGCATTCATGAAAATCTTTATAGGTTGGCTTTTGTTACAGTTTTTCACAAGTTCATCAGCTGATATACTCTGGTTTCTTTTAGGCCATATTGGAGATGCTATTTTCCAAATACTCAAGCCATAATATATGTGGTTGATTCCAGTGACACCGAACGACTAGTAATTGCTAAAGAGGAGTTCCATGCAATTTTAGAGGTATTCTTTGTTCTTATCACAACCTTTTCGGTAGTTTCTGTAGTATAAATTGTATTCTTTTAACGCCAAATATATCTATTGTTTTTAACATAGGAGGAAGAGCTAAAAGGTGCTGTAGTTCTCATATTCGCTAACAAACAGGTTGAGCCTTTTAACTTGTCACACAAACCAAATGAATCTTTTAATGTTTATAATTTTCAGTTCTCACCTCTAAATAATTGCTTTTCTACATATCGGCTGATAGGATCTTCCTGGTGCACTTGATGATGCTGCTGTGACAGAGGCTCTAGAGTTGCACAAAATAAAAAACCGTCAATGGTCTATATTTAAAACTTCAGCAATCAAAGGAGAAGGTCTCTTTGAGGGCTTAGACTGGTAAGCTCAATTCTGATTATATACACTTCTCAATTCTATTTTCCACCTTTCTAGTCACTCTAGTTGATGTTTCAGAATACAGATTATAACATCATATTTGATATTTGCAAGCCTGTAGAAGACGGGCAGCTAGAATGTCAGAGAACTAGAAATGCAAATAGCATGTGTTGATAGATTTTATCTATAAATTCGAGACATGAGGTGAGTGAATAGAGGGAAGGTATTGATAATGAGTGAATCAATGTGGTAGAATCTGCTTGTTTTAAGATGATGCAATTATGGGGGGTATAAATAAATAGTCCTTAGTATTGAGGTGTGAAAAACCGAAGCTTGAGGTTAAACTAGATGACTCTCTCACCTTGCTGGACTGAAACTGCTGCGCTCAAGAAAAATGTTGTGGAACTGAAATTTATATGAGCTAAAGTCATGATCGGATTTCCAACTAGTTTTGGAGTGAAAAAGGCGGTGATTGTGAATGGTGGTTAAAGATGGCAACTTCAACGTAACAAACCATCAACCACATTTGGGATTATATTTACTGATTTGGCAGATTTGAGTTATGACAATTGCTTTGCTCCAACTCCCCCCTACAAGCCCTATTTTAGCAGCTACTTTTTAAAATTATTCAAGCAAATCTGTGTGTTTATAAATAATAAGAATGACCTGAATTGCCTTGATTGTGCATGCATATGTAGTTCTGCATGACATTTTTGTGCCAACTGAATGATTGGAACAGATGAGACAGATCCACTCCCCATTATGTGAAGAATTTTTATTTTTGTAAAGAAGTTGAATGTGCACAGTGCTGGTCCTGGTGACGAGTCATCATGTCTCTTTTATTTGTCTATACGTTTGTATTTTCTAATTCTATTTATTTAGTTACGTTGTAGTTTAATATATACCACACAAAGAAATATATCTGTATATGCAGCTCTTTATCGATGATGTATGTTTGTGAATGGCAGGTTGAGCAACACTCTCAAGTCTGGCGGTGGCTAAACCTTTCGTTCTCATTGTGTAAGTTTGTGACTTGCTATTGATTTKGTCTTTAGCTATTAGATCTCGAGTCATCATGTCTTTTCGGAGGCCAAATACTGATGTCTCACTGAAACATCTAAATTTGTAGTACCATTTTTTCTGTTTGATGTTATCTGTTTCTTGGTAGTTCCAATTTTTATACTATTACTAAATCTTTGAAACTTCTCCATGGAAATGAATATGATGTAAGGTTTTGACCGGTCGAGTGTTTGCGTTTTGTTGTAAAGCTGGTAAAGGAAACAACTTTGTTGTCATTTCATAATGCTCGATCACGATTTAGCACAATTTGTGCGACGACTTGTAGTCAGCAGGTTTACGTAGCGACCAGCGACGACAAAATGGCCAAAAGCTTGGGATTGCAAAAAAAAAACCCTGAAACTGATGGTGAAAAATCAAAAACCAAAATTTTTGGGCCGGGTTCGAGGACTTCTTATCGATGGGGTTGCACATGGGTTGGGTTTTTGAACAAGCCAATCCAATGATTGCGGTTTGAATAATCACAACCTAACATAACCCACCCCAAACAAAACTAAAACCCAACCCAACCCAAACCGTACGAGTTGGTCGGGTTGAAACTTTGCTATAATTTACAATCTAGCTATTTAGCTATAAACGAAGTAAAATAAAAAAAGATAACATACAAAAAGCCTAACAAACACAAAAAAGAAAGTTGAAGGTTAAAGCAAATAAAAAAATAAAATTACTATTGATATTGTAATATAATTTTGCATATAATTAATTATGGATTGGTCTAATATCTAATGTATGTATATGTTGATCAAGGACTTAAAAATCATATCAAATCTATAGTGTAGAAGTGCATCAGGTTCTAAGTGGGTTGGGTTCAAATAATCCTAACTCAATTCCAACCGAATAGATACGAGTTGACCTAATTTTGTATCAACTATGTGTCAGATTACCTTGGGTTGAGTTTTTTTGAGTTTTTTCGGATTGGGTTGGCCGGGTTGGTCGGTATTTTGATCACCCCTACTTATCAGGAATGGGAACATATTCAGGGATTTTATCAGGGATGGGGGCGGGGACGGTGATCACCGGTACGACCCGACACGACCTGATATGTGTATGTATGTATGTGTGTGTGTGTATATATATATGTTAATACTTATTTATATAGGTATAATATCATTAAAAGAAAAATAATGACATTAAAATTCAAAAGATTTTTATCCACTTTATCTCAACACTCCAAATAAAACTTTCGAAAAATCTAGTTTATTTGTCTTATCATGAAATCTTGATGTTAGTTGGATGATGTTTGAACTTCTATTTACTTTTATATTGTAATCTAAGATATTGTTTGTAATTGGTTTAAGACCTTTACACTTGTATGTTTTAAGAAAATTAATTTACTTTTAGTTGTGAAAATTAAAATGTTGTAATTTTTTTTCCGGGACAATTTTGATTTAGGTTCGGGTATAACCAACAACGAATGGGAAACCAATGGGGAAAGGGGATTTTTACCCTTAACGGGTTCCCCATCATGGATCGGGGAAACCATAGGCCCCGATGGAATCCTTGATAAGATCCTCGATGGGAACCAAAATAGTTACAGGGATGGTTTTGGTTATCGGTTTCGGGGGCAAGGATACCAATAACCAGTCCCAACCTGACTCGTTGCCATTCCTACAACAACCATGGGTCACGGTCCAAGTTTGCCATGACCTGGGGAATGACCCAGAGTCACGAAAAGCTTGGTGAAGAGCGAGTCATAGCTCACATACCATGTCGTCGACACCAAATCAGGTGTGCTAAATTTGCCAAGCCAAGTTTCATCGACAAATGTTAATTGGACTGAAATATCAAGTCTATTAATGTTGGGGTTGCAAGCAAGTTAACGACTAAGTAGACCAACCTTTACTAATCCAGGTGAGTTGTATCTGACTTTATATATCAAAATTAATGCTTAAAGCAAGATTAGAATGATCAAGCATTCTATATTTTTACATTTCAAATGCTACACATAAAGTACGTATATGATTCATGTAATGATAAAAGGGAATGGAAAGTATGCGACCATGTGTTGGTATTTGTGATTAGATGCCGGTAATATGATGGCGGAAAATTCCCAATATAAATGTTAGTTAGTACATGTATTAGAAAAGGTACCTAACTCGATTGGTGGACGTAGTTAAGATATTATTTTTGTTATAATATTTTAAATCTTTTATCATCATGATTGTATGTATGTCTTAAATTAAGATATAACGTCACAACCCTGGCGAAAAGCGGATGTGGCATAAGCCAAAACAAAATCCCTTAAAGAAACCTTGACTATTTTCATTTCTAGCGATAACTGTTGATATATAAATTGTGACTTTATCAGATATGAATAATTAATTATGTAGAAAAACAATATCTTTTTGACGTTATTTCAAAAGGTGCGTACAATGTTTAGTCGTCGTAACGAGGTCTATTACATTATTTTGTGATTCCAACTCCGTCTTGTAACGAAAATAATAATGAGATTGTAATGTTAAGTTGGTCATAAAACGACATAAAAACGTTTGTATTATTATCAAACCAATATCCATAAAAAGTCTTTGGTGGATATGTGGGCATCATAGATCCACGCGTCATCAAAGTTTCATCAAGACAGCTGTCCGTTTCTCCTACAGGGGGCCCCACGTCGCTATGCAGATATTTGACAAACAGCGGAACAACCTTCCCATCCTTGCTCAAAATCTTTTTCTTGGCACACATTGATCCACGTGTCATCCACTTCCACCACAACTTCATTTCCTAACCTAGGGTAGATATAGATAGCTCCAGTCTCTTCCAAACACTTAAAACCCACAAAAAAATCAGAAGTTTCTAGACACAGGAGCCCTCAAATTTAAACCATAACCAACCATGGTTGAAAACGGTGGTGCTAGTGGTGGTGCCAAGTGTTTTCCGACAGGGTGGCACGTGGCTCGAAAGCTATGTGATTCTTGCGACTCCGCGGCAGCCTTGCTGTTCTGCCGTAAGCACAGGGCTTTTATGTGTATGGCGTGTGATGTGAAGCTGCACCGCCACATGAGGCACGACCGTGTGTGGATGTGCGAGGTGTGTGAACAAGCACCTGCTTGTTTCAATTGTAAGGCGGACGACGCTGCGCTATGCGTCACTTGCGATACAGATATACACTCGGCGAATCCGCTTGCTCGCCGTCACGAGCGAATTCCGGTGGTTCCGTTCTATGATTCTGCGGAGGATGCTCTCGTCAACTCTACCGCCGGTAACCTACTACATCCGGTCTCCGGTTACGGAAACAATGATCAATTGAATAGTTCCGTTGCCAAGGAAGATAATAATGATAGTTGGGGAGTTCCGACTACGACGAATGTGAATGTTAAATTTCCTACCAGTACTTCTCAGACGGATATGAAATCAATAGATCTGTTTGCTGCTGCTGATCGTATCTTCGATTTTGGTTTCCCGATTACAACAGAGGTTAAACATCAAAGCCAATTCCGTGATTCAGTTACCGATGGCGTGGTTCCAGTCCAAACAACTGTGCCGGCAACGAATTTTCTAGATGTACAAAGAGTCGATCATCAATCACCGGGAACTCCATACGAGATCGATTTCACCAGATCTACTACCAATTCGAACAACAAAAGCAACTCGCAGTCGCATAACCATAATGTAAACATCTCAATTCAAATCTTTAAGCTCCAGATGTTGATTACTCTATTATACCAGAACGCTTACATGTGGATCTACGGAAATTACAGGTATCGTGTTCATCGATGGAAGCCGGCGTAGTACCGGAACAAAAATCGATATCACATCCATTGATGGTAGCAGGAGAAACGCAAATAACAAAAAGGTTGTCAGGAATGGATAGGGAGGCTAGGGTTTTGAGGTACAAGGAAAAGAGGAAGAAGAGAAAGTTCGAGAAGAAAATCCGATACGCTTCTCGGAAGGCGTATGCTGAGATGCGGCCGAGGATCAAAGGCCGGTTTGCAAAGCGAACAGAGTCGACGACGGAGTTGGATGTAGATCGGTGGTTGTTGACGGCGGAGTGTAATACCAATGGTTATGGTGCGGAGGAGGAGTACGGCGTCTTTCCTTCGTTTTGAAGGACGGCGTACTCGTACAGTTGGTGTAAAACATTTATCAGGGAAATTAGCGTCTAACTATTTTTCTCTTTTCAGTAAGCTCTCATTCTAATTCACAACTTCAATTATAACTGAAATCTATTTTTATTTTACTTTTTTTATTATCAATTTCATTTTGTTACAAGGAACTCGTTTTTATGATATTAAAAAAAATCGTGACATCACATATAATATTAAACTCGGATTAAATAAACCCAAAAAATGGTAGATAGACCAGCCCACAAGCAAAGAGCCACCCAAAACAAAAAAACGATCAACATTACTAAATGACACAAATAACAAGGCATATAACCGAAAATAAGCCGCAAACGAAATGCAATACTGAAAGGGTTAGTGCACCGTGAAACCCGTGACCCGTAGAAGCCTTTAGCTCGATGGGAAAGAAGCTGATTAAATGTCAAACACCGAATCACAATCCCTTGACACCTCGTTGAAGCTAAAACAACAAATTTTCTTAAGCATTATATCTCGATCTATGTTTGTGAGATTATAATGTTTAAAGGAAATTTTTGATTAGTATTTGATGATAGAAAATTAAGTACAATTGATTAAAAATTAATTTGAAAGAAAAAAACAAACCAAAAATCATTAGGAACATAAAATTGTATTATTATTATTTAATCTAAACAGAATATATCGAGTGAACAACTTAACAATATATATGAATTAACTGAATTATGATAAATAATCTTTAGTAGACGTTTAAGTTTTCAGAATATCGAAAGATATTCATTAGAAGGTTAAAATATTTTATTTATTTATGTCATGTTAAATAATTATAAAGTAGTTAAAATGAGCTCTAGCTGATTTTTTTTAAAAAAGCTATTGCTTTAAAAAACGAGTTCAAATAACTATTCGACAAAATTCAAAAAAGCTTTCCACTTTTTTGAATATGCTCTTTATGTATACCTGATTAGTTTTTTTAACGTGCCCATTTAGGTTCTTTTAAATTGGTATGTAACTTGTTAGCTAGTTTTATTTAACATAAATAATTTATTAGCTATTTCAAAGGGTTTTTAACTTAACGGCATATGAGTTTTTGGTCTCCTAGGAGGTCAGGCGTTTAAATTTCATTATGGGTGAAGAGGGTATATAAGTTTATTTGTTCTATTTAATGTTATAATTATTATATACTTTTAAAATAATAATTTATCAGCTAATTTTTTAACATGTCATTTTTTATATTTCTACATCTTTTAACTAGTTAGTTTATCTCATCGAAGGATATAGTGAAAGTCTATTTTTAACACTAGCTAGATACTTACTTCCTAATGGATCTTTAGTTTATGAAAGAAAAAAAAATGAGAAAATAATTTTTATTTATCAGCTATCTTTTTAACTATAAACTAAGTTTTCAGTTATTAACTAACTTAAGGGTTGTTTGACAGTTGCTGAATGGTTTGGTGCATAATGATTAAGTGGCTTTCATGATATAGTGCAAAATGAAATATAATTGTCTGATAATTATTTTCAACGAAATTAGGGCTCTGAATGGTTAAGAGAGACCCATAATAAAAATCATTCAGGGGGTTTTAAAACCATTAAGAAACAAACATTTTTTCGTTAAATAAAATTTATCTTTTAGCGATTTAGATATTGTCTTTTAATAAAACTATTAAAAGATAATCCATAGTCACAAACCTTTTACGAAGTTTATGACTTTATTCACATCAACTTTTTTTTTCATCATGTCAATTTTCTCTTTCTTATATATTTCATGTGCTTTTCGCCTTAATCATGGATGACTTTATGATTGTATAATAGAAAACCATAATAATGAGAATTATAATGATTAATATATATATATATATATATATATATATATATATATAATATGGTGGATAATATCATAGAGCGAATTAATTTAAAGTAAAAAAATTGTTTTAAGACCTTATAATCACAATAATTAATAATCAATTTTAACATTTTTCAATTTATTATATATTTATTTGTGTACGGGTAGAAATTGAAAATTAATTAACTAATATTTTATTAAATTACTTTTCAACTAATTACGTATTTAAAAGAAATTGATAAACACATATCTCAATGACTTTTATTATAAAATAATAAATGGATGGAGCCTCCATTTTAACCTTTGAGTATCGCTCTAATAAGGTGATCAAACCCCTAGTTTAGGTGTAAATGATGCGAATCGAGCTCGAATATTATTATACTCGACTCGAATTCGAAACCCAATTTTCAAGATCCGAATTCGACTCGAAAACTCGTAAGTAATAAAAATCAAAGCTCGACTCGAACTAGATAACTATTTCCCAAGCTCGAACTCGAATCAAGCTTGAACTCGAGCACAAATCAAGCTCAAACTCAAACTCAAACTCGGATCAAGCTCGAACCAAACTCATCCATCGAAATTTATGAAGTTTTAGGGTCTTTCTCTTATTAATTTTAAAACTTAAAGATGTTCTCCTAAGTGGCATTTGGTTTGCAGATTCTAGAGAAATCTGATGGAATTGGAATGTCGAATTCCATTGACCAAATTTCATTCTCTCGTTTGGTTCATTCTTTTTCGGGAAAGAAATCTTCAAAATCCTACAAATTCCACAAATAAAGGAATTTAACATTTCTTAACAACTGTATTTTGATGTAATGGAATCTATATCTTCATTATACCAAATATTCCCTTAACCTAATATAATCTAATCTTATAAAACTTAATATAACCATCGTCGACCACCTTCGACCACTATGGATCTGAACCACCCCCGACTACCACCAATCTGAACCACCCTCGACCACCACCACTGACTACCACCGATCTAAACCACCACCGACTACCACCGATCTGAACCACCCCCGACCACCACCACCATCACTAACTACCATCGATCTGAACCACCGCCGACCACCACCACCGACCACCATCGATCTGAACCACCACCGACCGCCACCACCGATTTGAACAACCGCCGACTACCATCGATTTGAACCACCGCCGACTACCACCGATCTGAACCACCGCTGCTCTGAACCACCGTCGACCATTATCGATCTAAACCACCGTTGATCTGAACAATCGCCGACCACTACCGATCTAAACCACCGTTGATCTGAACCACCGCAGACCACTACCGATCTAAACCACCATCGACACCGTCGATCTGAGCCACCACTAATCTGATTCACCGTCAATCTGAACCACCGCTGATAACCGCCATCTGAACCACCATGGACAACCACCAATCTGAACCACTGTCGACCATCGCCATCTGAACCACCACGGACCACCATTGATTTGAACCACCGCCAACTATTATCGATCTGAACAACCATCGATCTGATCCATCGTCGATCTGAACAACCACCGATCTGATCCATCGTCGATCTGAACCACATCCGACCATCGTCACATGAACTACAACGGACCACCATCGATCTATATCACTGTCGACCACCAACGACTACCATCGATCTGAATCACCGTCAGGTGACCACCACCGATTTGAATAACCACCCCCGCCATCGCCTATCTGAACCACCGCTGACCACCTCCATCTGAACCACTGCGAACCACCACCGATCTGAACCACTGCCAACCATCGTCAATTTAGTAACGTCGTTGGGCTTATCGTTATATTTGGGTTGTGTATTTTATATTGTTTTACATATTAAATAATTATTTTATTAAAGTATTTTTAGTTTAAAATCAAAAAAGGGTATTTTGGTCATTTATCAATATTTTATTCCAATTCTAAAACTACATTCTGTGAACCAAACAGACATATCCAAACGCCACCTTAGTTTTTATAAAATTAAAGGAATTAACTTTAAACTTCATCATCAAAGAGACAAAGTTAGAGATTCTTTTCACCTCCCTCTCTTTTTATAACATCTTTTCTCCCTTTTTTTTACCATATCTCTTCCAATGTGGGACAATTTCACTAACCTTTTTTTGTAGTTTTTCTTTGTTTTTTGAATTGTGATTTTAATAAAAAATAACTAATTAATTTTTATAATTAAAAAATACATAATTTTGTTTAAATATTTAAAAATGTAAAACATTTTTATTATTTATATTTTACAAATTTTATCATAAAAATTAATTATATTTTAAAATTAATTATATATATAAAATAATCGAGTATCTCACGAGCTCTTCGTACTTTTAATTATATTATTTATACATTGTACTTTTAATTTTATTACTTTTATCATTTAAACTGTTGGTCACAGCTGGATCTATAAGAGTTTACAGGTAACAGTTTGTAGAAGGGGAGAAAGATGAATACAAACACAACAACTTTCACTTTTAAAAAACTTATATTGATAAAAAGATCAATATAGGTTTTTACAGATTGTTTGTGGAAGAGATAAGATACAAAACTTATCTAAACAATCAAAGATATACACGAATTACAAATAGCAAGAAGAAGATACTTGCTACAAGAAATAGATTAAAACGTATTGTGCTCTTCACGTGTTAAAGTGAAAGTCTTTCTCTTAGACATAGAGTATAGAGGGAGGATTATCTTATTGGGTAAGATCTTCAAGGTAAAGATGCTTAGATTTGAGATTCAGAAGTCTTGCTAAGAAGAGATAACTACTCAGCTATTTATACTCATTGCATTAAATGCAATTCAGAAGGTACAAATCACATGGTAAGCTTTAGGATGTAAGCTTGTCCTTAGTTGCAGTATATAGTCTTTTGGCTGTATATGAACAGTCTTCTTCCATAGAGTAGGTAAGCACACTTGAAACAATAGAGTGACTCCATATTGCACTTTACTTAGAAAGATATGGGTTCGTCCTTTGTGTGTAGAAGAACAAAACAAAAACTAATCTTGTTCAACAAGATTCATTTAGTCGCTGAAACTGGAATGACGCTGAAGGTCTCATCAGTGTTCGCTGAATTTTGTATAGATTTCACACTTGTATAGACGAGCTTGTTATTACTGAAAACCGCATCATATCACGAATTTGCAAGTCTCTATCTTCTGCTTCTATCTTCGATATCACTGAAGGTTCTGTAGTGTGAGTTTTGTATTCTTGAAGTATACCGATCTCTAAACGAATTACAATACATGCTCAACGATCACTGAACAGATTCAGTGATGATCGCTGAAACTAATATAGAGATAATACACTTC